CGGTGTGTGTGTGTGGGGGGGGGGGGGGGGGGGGTCCGTCAGTCTGAGCATGAAGCTTATTTAATTTTATAGTAATTATTATTATTAAACATCAAGCATGTCACACTCTTTTTTCATTCTTGCATGTTTTTTTTATCTTTGTCAATAACTTTAAATAGTACCACAAAGTTAAAGAAATGTATAGCATCACATAAACCATTTGAAAATCGATTTTTTTTTTAATTTGTGAAGAAAAAACAAATGTAAAAAATTGTGTACAGTGCCGTGGTGATTTAGTTTAGTTACTCAATCCTGCCATTGCATCAAACAATTGAGCAACCCTAGAGCTCATTGTTGGTCTATATGATCAATCAAGAGAAAATTACTGATACCCAAGCTTCATTAACTGGTACACATGTACAAAGATTGTTCACTGCTAAACAGAAGAAACACATTTCATCAATTCCTGGTTCTAGGAGCTGTTGTAACTACAGAAATCCTCCAATCTTTTGTACAATAGGCTGACATTTACTACCGAAACAACCAATAAAACTCTGCATGAGTTAAGTTTAGATTTGTGATTTTAATCATTTGCTCCATTTTTTCAAACTGCTTGGACCACAATAATCACTTTTTTTTTTTTTTTTTTGGATCAATGATTTAGATCAATGAAGTATTTAAGCAGTTTTGTATGTTATGCAGGAAGGTTTTAGCTCACCTGGACGTTTATCTGCCATTTCTCAGTCTTTCTTTTATTTCAGTCTCCACCAGCAAAATACCTGAATGAAATTAGAAGACCTGTTGCTGAATGAGGTTTTATGTAATGGTAAATGCTTGACAGACATTTGCATGATCAATATTATATATATTTTTTTTAAATAATTTATGTAATTATTTAATGGTTTACCTGGTATGCCTTACCTGTCTTGTGATAAGTATGAAATGTATTCTATGGTCAGGAAAAATGCCAAAAATTACACAGCAGAGTCTTGCACTAACAAAGCAATGTGAAACTATGTCTTCTCATTTTGAGCATCCAGAGTCTGGCTGTTCAGCTGACTAGGCAAACATGGGCTGTGATTGGACGGGATAACATAGTGCCACAGCAGCATTTACAAATGGAAAAAAAAAAAAAAAAAAAAATCTGAATATTCAGCTTCAAACAGAAAGTTGATTTTTATTTTAATATTTGCACCAAATTACAATATGCTGCATGCTTATATTGAAAAGCCCAGGAAGCAGAATGTAAATCCCCCCCCCCCCTTTAATAATGTTTTTAGTCATTATAGAAAAGAGTTCATGAAAGTTCTGAAAAATGTTCTGAAAAAAAAGAATTGTTATAAAATATATTTGTTAACAGGAAACTATACAATGATAATATATAGCGCAAACACACACACACACACACACACACACACATATAAATATATATA